GAGTGGATCTTCCAACCGCACTGAACCAAGTTGAGAAACTCCCTCATAAATGTGCCCAAAGGCCTGTTTGCATTCTAGATCGTGCCAAATTGACATTCAATATTAACAGGAAAGGTACTGTGATAGCAGAGGGGTGTATTGGAGTTTTATTGATTAATAGTGTGAAGAAGATTGGGTGTGGCTCAGTAGTCCAGTGCTTGCCTAGCACACAGGAGGCTATGGTTTTGAGACCCAGAAAGAAAGAAACAAAACCTGTTTTGAGACAGGAAGACAGTGCCAATTGTATTTGTTGAGAAAAATGCATCAACTGTATCATCTTGCTGGCACAACTTTGTGAAAGAGCATCATGTAAATGTAAAAGGTAGGTCTACTTTATATGCTGGGTAAGGATGGGATGGACTAAGACCTGTCAGTGGTGGTGGGATTGGGGTTGAGGGGATAAAGCTCTGGCTAGCCTCACTTTCCACCTGCTCAAATCTGTTCGTGTAAATCGATAGACTCCCAGGAAAGGTCTGCAAAGAAGTCAGAGAAGTTTTGTTTGTCATCCTCATGATGCTCAGAAATAATTTCTGATGCCGAGTTTATAGCGTGGATTTCGCTGCAGTGTGCTCAGTGTTAAAGTGAGGGGGCTTGCTCTTTGAAAGTTGTGGGTGTTACTGCTGAGGTTGTGTGTGTTTGTCATGGGGAATCTAACCTGGCCCCAGTACTGAGGAAACTGACATGCTGACTGTGATTTCACTCTTAGCCCGCTGCAAAAGCAGGATGTAAATTCTCTCTATGTCTTAGAACATATGTGTAGATTTTCTTTTTGCTAGTTGTATATACAGACCTATTTATGTACAGATACAGAAATATATGTACACATTATAAATTCATCACACACATGTATGATGTATGGCATGTAACATACATGGTGTTAATCCTTATCATAAATAACTAATAAGAGTATACAATATAAATATGTGTTGGTTTTTGTTCTTTTTTATTTTTGATAACTTCCCATGAGTCCTGTATCTATATCACTCCCACTCCTTCCTTCCTCCACATACTCCTCCTGAGCTCCCAAATGTATCTTTTGGAGGGTGACTGAGACAGAGTTTCTCTGTTTAACAGCCCTGGCTGTCCTGGAACTCACTTTGTAGACCAGGCTGGCCTCCTACTCACAGAGATCCACCTGCCTCTGCCTCCTGAGTGCTGGGATTAAAGGTGTGAGCCACCACTGCCTGCCCACTCCCCAAATGTTTTTAATAATACATTTATTTTTGGTGTTCTTCACTAAAAAAATAATTTATTTTATTTTATGTGCATTGGCATTTGCCTGCATGTACGTCTGTGTGAAGGTGTCAGATTTTGGAGTTAGAGACAGTTGTTAGCTGCCATGTGGATGTTTGGAACTGAACCTGAGTTCGGCGCTCTTAACCATTGAGCCATCTCTCCAGCCCCTTTTTTTGGTTTTCCGAGAGAGGATTTCTCTGTGTAGCCCTGGCTGTCCTGGAACTTGCTCTGTAGACCAGGCTGGTCTTGAACTCACAGAAATCTGCCTGCCTCTGCCTCCCAAGTAGTAGGATTGAAGGAGTGTGCCATCACTGCCCAGCAATAATGGATTTTTTAAAAAGATATAATTTGTGTGTGTGTGTGTGTGTGTGTGTGTGTGTGTGTGTGTGTGTGTGTGTGTGTGTGTGTGGTGTTTGTATAAATAGGGATATCCAGGGGAGCCAAAGGCATTGGATTCCCTTCAGCTAGAGTTGAGAGGTAGTTGGGATCCTGAGGTAGGTGCTGGGAACAGAACTTGGGTCCTCTGCAAGAGCAGTATACACTCTTGATCTCTGAGATCTCTCTCCAGTCCCTTATGGTGGCTTTTTAAGAATAAAGTTTAGCCTTGCGGTGGTGACACATGCCTTAAATCCAGCACTCCGGAGGCAGAGCCAGGCAGATCTCTGTGAATTGGAGGACAGCCTGAGCTACAGAGTGAGATCGGGGACAGGTACCAAAACTACACAGAGAAACCCTATCTTGGAAAGAAAAAAAAAAGAATAAAGTTTCAGGGCTGGAGAGATGTCTCAAAGGACCAAATGCCACTGTACGAGCAGGAGGACCTGACTTTGAATATCTACCGTCTATATAAAAGAACAGGTGTGGTAGTGCATGCCTGTGAGGAATTTGGTGGGGATAGGTGGATCGCAGGAGCCTGCTGGTCAGTTGGTCTAGTCAAAACAGCAACATCCAGGTTCTGTGAGAGACCTTGTCTCTGAAAATAAGGTGGAGGGTAATAGAGGAAGACCCATGACATTGATCTCTGATCTCTTACACAAACATACAGGCAAGCACCATGGTGCACACACATGCATACACACCCACACCCACACACCACACACACATTCTATTTTTCAAATTTCACTTGTAACATCAAAAGTGTCAAAACCTATTTCCACCACCATGGAGGGTCTCCCATACGACAGCCGTCTCTCCACACATCATATCCCAGGGTCTTCTCTCTTTATTTACCAAGGAGGAACTGACACACAGAAGTAAACTTATGCAGGAGGCTCAGCTAGTCTGACGTGTAAATATAGGGCTACCCTCAGACATTATCTCCCCAGAAGAGTCTGCAACACTTTAGCATGAACATGCAGCTGCTTTCAGTATAGTGCTCCAAACAGAGCAGAATGAGCTACAGAGAGACACTATGAAAGAGCTCTGATTGCCCGGGAATTGGAAGGCTGCTCAGGGATAGACTTGCTTTCACTTGAGAGCTTGGGAAGGAGGTCCTGCTGTGAAGACAGTTACTGGTTGTAGAGGGGTTACTTCTGCAGAACTGACATGTCCCCTCCTGGGATGCTCACAGGCTCAAGAAGTAAACAACATTCACAAGGCCCCTCTCCACAACGTTATATAAGAAATAGCAATTCTGGGTAGAAGGGGGGTCTCTGAACAGTGGCGCTGCTAGGCAACTCCAGGGATACAGCTTTCATGACCTCTGACCCACACTGGATTGGCTTTGCATCGATGTAGCCTCTGAAACACTCTGCTTCTGAAAGTAGCCCTTTGCCTATTGCTGCAAGCCACAGGAAAATGTAATGGAATCCAGTTATTATCACAAAAGGTACTACTTGGAAAAGTTAAGGACTTTTCTGAATGTCAAGCCAAGGCTTAAGAAGTCCTGGTGATATTTTAGCTTTTGTATATATATTATCTGGTCCTACAATGATTTTCTTTTTTTAAAAAAAAAACTTATTTATTTTATTTGTAAGAGTGTTTTGTTTGCATGCTTATGTATGTGCATCACACATGTGCCTGGTACCCAAGGAAGTCAGAAGAGGGTGCCAGATGCTCTGGAACTGGAGTTACAGATGGTTGTTAGCTACTAGGCAAATGTTTGGACTTGAACCCAGGTCCTCAGATACAGCAACCAGTCCTCTTAACCTCTGAGCCATTACTCCAGGCCCCAGTGTTTTTCTTGTAATGCTATATGTGCTTCCAAGAACTGCCAACAGTGTATTTATCTAAATTTCCTATCAAGCATCCAAGGCCAAACTGAAACAACACCTGTCTTCTAGGTCAGGCAGATAGCTTTATTTCTCGTGCAATTTAGGGTGAGACCCTCCTTTCCTATACAACCTTACTAATAGACCCCAACTTCTTACCTAACCACTTCTAGGAATGTAGACTGAGCACATAGATCCATTTTTGCGATACTAACCGGGCATTAGCACTCAGTTGACCTCCTCTTTTACCACTCCCATTTGGGGTTGTAATAGAAAGCCTGACAGTCACTGCCTGAGGAAAATTCTTACCTACCCTTATGACGCCATAAGAATTCAAGCCTGGTGACCTTGCTCTGGCAGAGGACTGCTATTGCTTGGGTTTTAACTGGATTCCTGAAAGACTTGGGGAGAACTGAGAGAATAAGGAGACTGAGAGGAGGAGAGAGAGAGGAAAAAAGAGAACGGAAGAACTAGATGGTAAGAACTGGAGAGGAATGGACTAGATGGGAAGAACTAGACTGAAGGACTAAAGGAGAGTACTAGAGGAACAAGATGGAAGATGAGGAAGAGCCAGATGGGGAAGAACAAGATGAGAGAGATGAGATGGGAGAGGAGCTGATATGGGAAAGAACTAGATGGATGAGAACCTAGATGGGGCAGAACTAGGAAGAGAGAATTAGAACTTAGAGGGGACAGCAGATAAATGTAGAGAGAAATCAGGCAAGACAGGGGCTAGGCATGAGAGCAGAATAGAAGCTGTGTAGAGAGAGAACTGACTCAGAAGAATAAAGTGTATGGACTAAGGAGTTTCGTGTATAAAGATTCATTTCTTATCATCAAAGATTAATTATCAGCTGGTTGTAGATTCTTCCTGAATGTTGGGAGGGGACTATTGAAGGGCTGGACCCCCATCGTCCCCAGTAGCCTATGTTCCTGTAACCCTAAGAAACCCATTGGTTTAGCAAACTAGACTTGGGTGGAATCGCTTCTCTGGGAGCCCTTGGTGGCCTATCTGGGGTGACTAGTTACTTGCTTAGCTCTCCCTGGGAACAAACACACAATGCCGGTTCTCACTCACATCCATGTAATGAGCATAGTGGTCACTATGGCAAGAAAGCATAAGAGAGTTTGAAGCATAACTAACTGTAAGCATGTAATGTCAGAACCCAGCCACCACTGCTAGGCCACAGCACCTCCAGTCTGCTCTTCTCAGACACTGACAGGTGCCCTACTGACACACTGTGAGTCTCTAGCTAACAGACTTCCTGGTTGGTGCCTGAGTGTCTGCAGCTCTCTAAGTGCTGGGGTTCATAGGGTTTGAAGGGGTTAGGTGTTATTTTCTGAGCAAGAGGGGACTCCAAAAAGGGAGGCAAGCAGGATTCACCAGGAGGCTCTGAGTGCAGTTTGGATATCACTGTTCCTGGGCAGACTTCCCACCCTCAAGCCTGGCCCTCTGACAGAACCCTGCACCCCATCACTGCAGGAAGAGTTTGGAGCCTGTGTTGCTGAATCCTGAAAACCAGCCATTTCCAGGAACAGAAACTGAAAGCTGCTCTGGAAGCAGGTTCCTCCCTCTGGGGAGGCAGGCAGGGCTCCTGCCTACAAATGAGGAGTGGAGCCCGGTCCAGAGTGGAGCAGAGTACAGAGTGGAGCCGCTTCCAGAGTGGACCAAGGTCCAGAGTGGAGCAGGGTCTGAGAGGAGCAGAGTACAGTGTGGAGCAGAGTACAAAGTGGAGCAGGGTCTGAGAGGAAGCCCAGGAGCTCAGGCTTCCCTTCAGCTGCTCCCCTCCTCTATCGCTCTTCCCAGGAGGACCCCAGCCCTCCACTGCTCGACTGTCTCCTCCTGAACATCCTGGGCCTGGATTCCAGTTTTACAAGGCTTCTGAGCAGGTAGGTGAGAGGCTCCTAAGTGCAGCTTGGCCTATAAACTGCTCAGGGCATGAGAGTCTGGAGTCTGGTGTTCCTCTCAGGGATTGTGTGCAGCAGGCACCTGCCCTGATCTTCTTCAGGACCACACAGTCCCTTGTGTTTTGGCTGAAAAGAGTCTTTCCAACCCACCAGCAGAGAGGCAATGTGCCCCTTTCTTACCTCATATCCCTGGATTGTGGGTCTTCTTAGGAGGCCTAGTTCAGAAAAAGCAGATGGGGTTTCACACAATCTCTCAGCCACTGGCCAGAGTCCAGCATCAGAACTTCCCACTGGCAATATTGGGATGTCCCAGGATTATGTAAACACATTGGTTCTCTTTTCAGAGCTCACAGAGACTGGAACTTGAAAGATTGAGGTCCTAAGCAAATCTTCTATTCATATTATAATATATATATTTAATAATTCCGTTCAGTTTTTTTAAAAATTATTTATTCAGTGTGTGTCTTTGTGTGTCTGTGTCTGTGTGCATGTGGATGTCAGGGGATAACCTGTGGGGCTGATTCTTTCTGCAACTGAACTCGTGTTGTCAGACTTGCTGGCAAGTATGTTTACTTGCTAAGCCATCTCACTGGCCCCTTTAAAACACACAGCCGAAACATCGAAACAAGGCAAAAACCAGTTCAAGTATTTCATCTGCATTAGAGAAACTGGCACACCACAGTCACTAGCTCAGTCCTTCATGGAGCGTTAGAGTGTGTATCCGTGTTGCACACTTTAAATACATCCCAGAGCATGCTCGCAGGGTCCAAGGCTGTTCCCGAGGACCCTGGGGTGGATCCCCTGGGGTGGACCTAATGGTGAAGAGTGTAGGAACAAAGGAGGGGTTGAGGGTGCGATAGGATCTATGTTCACAAAAGCCCCTGACAGCTCAGAACCGTGGCTAGTCTAGGCTGGTTCCCCCATCTCTGCAGTACCTTTGATGGAGGCTCAGGCTGGGTGAGGTGGCCCACACGTGTCAGCATAGCACTGGGGAAGTGCGGCAGAAGATTCAGGTCAAGGTTACACAGGGAGTTCTAGACTAGCACAGTGGATGTGAGACTGCGATTTGCATTTTAAAATGTACACTCTTTATTAGTCTATAATAATTGCGTAAAATAATGGGTTGTGGGCCAGTGAGCTTGCTTAGTGGGTAGAAGTGATTGCTCCCAAGCCTGATGACCTGAGATTGATCCCAAGGACCCACATGGGAGAAGGAGAGAACTGACTCCCACAGGCTGTCCTCTGACTTCTACGTGCGCATTTGCCATGCTCAACACACCTGCCACACATATAAATAAATAAATGCAAAAACGGAGACATTTCTTAAAGTATCAGGTTTCATGATGGCATTTTCACATATGGATAAGGTCAGTCTTCATTAGGGTCCTGGGCTCTGACAACACAGCTGACAGGAAGCATCTTAAGGGAGGAAGGCTTATGTGGCTCCTGTTAAGAGGATGCAGCCCAGCAGGGTGGGGAAGGTGTGGCCACAGGGGCTCAAGTCAGCTGATCTCAGGATTCCACAGTCTGGACATAGAGAGAGGTGCATGCTGGGGCTCAGCTTCATTTCATCCCTTTGTCTTTTTATCCAGTTCCGGACCCCAATCCGTGATGGCAATGTCTCCATCCAAGGTGAGTCTGGCTCCCTCAGGTAACCCTCTGTGGAAACTGTCTCAGGGATCTACATAAAGGTGGCCTCACTAATGCCTCAGGTGTGTACAGTCCAGTCAGGCAGGCAACCGAAATTGACCCTCACAGGGGCTTCGAGCATCTTGCACCCCCTATTACCCATAGTTTTTATTTTGTTTTACTTAAGTCACAACATATTGGTGGGTCATCAGGAACTTTTTAGTAAAGTTGTGCAGTTGGAATAAGTATAATAAAACACAAGTCTCTGGATATTATTGCACATGTCTTTAGTTCCAGTCTCAGGAGGCAGAGGTAGATGGATCTCTGTGAGTTCGAGGCCAGCCTGGTCTACATAATGTGTTCCGGGAAAGCCAGGGCTCTATAGAGAGACTCTATCTAAAAAATAAATAAATAAAATAAAATACAAATCAACTGATTCCAGTAGAATCACATGTAGCCTATGTGAACCACACAGCAGAACCCCTCATTCAGTTGTGTGTGTGTGTGTACCTGTGCAATCATGCATGCATGCATGTGTGTGAGAGCATGCCCTGGCTTCTATGAAGTGCACCTCTTCCTGTGAGTATGTTAGGAGATCCCTGAGTCATGGCTCACAGGGTCTGATTCTCCTCCCAGGCCTGGCTGTCTCTCTCCAGTGAATTTGCTTGTCGGGCTCCCTTCAGAGGCCAGGAGGGCCTGTTCCTCATCCTCCACATGGATCTCTGACCCATGTGCCCAGGGGTGAACCAGAGACATCAGAGGTATAAATTGAACAGGGCCCTCAAATAGGGAAGTGTGGGCACTTGAACTCCAGACTGACCTCTTGAGGGTTCCCTCTTGGCAAAGCCTGGTCACTGTCTGAGCCACGGTTCCTGTAGCTGTCCACATGAACAGCTCTACAGGACTCCTCCTGGTATTTTGTCACAGGAGTGAAAAAGGCAGCTACTCCAGTTATCTGCAGAAAACTAGGGATTTAGGAATTTGCCCACAATTCACCAAGCCAGCAGCTTTGGGGACTCAGGATGGGGTGTCAGCCTACTCTTTCCATGTGGAGACTAAAGCCAGTCCCTCAGGCTGATGAACAGAGGTTTGTGGGGAGCAGTGGTGTGCTGCAGGCAGGAGAGCCCATCCCAGAAGATGAGCAAGAGAGACAGAGGATGCTCCCACTGGGAGTATGGAGAAGAAACCAGTACCAAAAACTTAAGGGTGCCTGAGAAGCACCTTCCACAGACAAGAGCCCTGGATTTCGAGGGAAAACACCTGGGCACACTCTGGTTATTTCATGGGAATCAGGAGTAATTCTGGAAGAGAGATTTTTTTCTTCTTTCTTTTTTTTCTCTTCTCTTCTCCTCTCTTTCTTCCTTCCTTCCTTCCTTCCTTCCTTTCTCCCTTCCTTCCTTCCTTCTTTCCTTCCTTCCTTCCTTCCTCCTTCCTTCCTTCCTTTCTTTCTTTCTTCTTTCTTTCAACAGGGTTTCTCTGTGTAGTCCTGGCTATACTGGAACTCACTCTGTAGCCCATGCTGGCCTAGAACTCACAGAGATTTGCCTGCCTCTGCCTCCCTTGCTCAGTGCTGGGATTAAAGGCATGCTCTCCCACCACCTAGCTGGCAGGGAGCTTCTTAAAGGACAGAAAAGCTATGTGAGACTCACAGGAAATTTCCCAAATATATAGTGCTGAGTTTCAAATGCTTTTAGTCTTTTACACACACAAAACAGGAAAATAAAATTTCAAGAGGAAGAGTCCCATCAATCACTCCAAATTGTGGAAGAGCACATGCCTGTCCCATGTAGGGCCTTTATCTAAGAACAGTGGTTAAGGTATATGCTGCTGTCTTGCATCTCAAGATTTGGTGTGGTCCTGTGAAATGGTTGGAGTCCTGTCCTCAAACTGATATGTCCCAGTGTCCACTCCAGAAGGCCAACACTCTAGTGCTTACCTGTGCCGGGTATGGGTTTATGCATCCTACATCTTCCATCTTTTAAAAATTAATTTCCTTTTTTTGGGGGGAGGGGAAGTGTCTCACTATGTAGCCCTCATTGTTTGGCCTAGAACTCACAGACACTCTCCTGCCTCTGCCTCCCAGTGCTGGGATTAAAGACATGCACCACCATGCCCAGCTTGGTATCATTTTTAATCATGTGCATATGTGTGTCTGTGTGGAGCATAGGCACATTTGTACAGTGCCTCAGGAACCCAGAAGAGGGCGTCAGATCCTCTGGAATTGGAGTTCCAGGAGGATGTGGATCACCTGATATAGATGCTGGGAATGGAGCCTACATCCTATGGAAAGGCAATAAGTGCTCTTAACCCCTGAGCCATCTCTCCAACCCCCAAACCTCCATCCTTGATGTTGGAAATTATGTTTCCCAACCTGCCCCACAAAATACTTCAGTGCCGTGGCACGGATTTAGTCAAGAACAGAAACATGATTGAATGGCCCACCCTAAGAAGGTCATCTGTATCTCTGTATCAGTGTCCCCATGGCTCAAAGAATAGCTTAGAAGAGGACATGGGAAGTATGTAAAAACTGTAGAGAGCCGGGCGGTGGTGGCGCACGCTTTAATCCCAGCACTCGGGAGGCAGAGGCAGGTGGATCTTTGTGAGTTCGAGGCCAGCCTGGTCTACAGAGCGAGATCCAGGAAAAGGCGCAAAGCTACACAGAGAAACCCTGTCTCAAAAAACCAAAAAAAAAAAAAAAAAAAAAAAAAAAATGTAGAGAGCATGCTCGTGTGTGTGTCATTGGTTTGTGTGTGTGTGTGTGTGTGTGTGTGTGTAAAATGTTAACTTCTGAACTAGCTTAGCGGTGGCACTTTTGAACCCACTGCAGCTGTGGTTACTTGTACAAGATCACCACAGGACGGGGCCTGTTGACATCCTGTTATGGAAAGGGGAGGGTATGGTGAGTCCCCACCCCTCCCTGAGGATTTACACACAGTAAATAGTTGATGAAGGAAGGAGGGACATTTTCTTCAGTCCCTAGCCACTGAGAAAATGCACATGCTGCTGTAAGACAATTCTCACTCCTGCTTTTGTAAACACTCAAATGAGACTCACTGGGCCAAAAAGAAGAAAAAAAAAAACCCCACAAAACCCAAAAAACAACCATGAATGTAGAAGGGGGACAGGCTGGGAAGAGGACAGACATCACTGGGAACAGGGGGAGGGCTAGAAAAATGAACGGGTGGGCATGAATACAATAAAAAACACATGATGTTCATGTGTGCAAATGTCATACTAAAACCCAGTATTATATCATTAATGTATACGAAAATTGCTGAGTGTGGTAGTGCATGCTTTAATCACAGCATTGAGGAGGTAGAGGCAGGCAGATCTGAGTGCAAGGCTAGCCTGGTCTACAGAGCAAGTTCCAGATCAGCCAGGGCTACACTGTCTCAAAACAAAAACAGCCAAAATTATATGTGCTAATCAAAACATTAAAAAGAAACCTGTTCACAGAAGAATTTCAGTCTGTATGTTAATAAGAATAGCTACAGTGATAATAGACAGCCCACATGCTGTCTTAAAATTGATGGAATTTTTATTCTTTTTTAAAGATTTAGTTTTATGTGTATGTGTGCCTGAGTGTCTGTATATGCACATGTACAGGCAGGAATTCTTGGAGTCCAGAAGAGGGTTTTGGAATCCCTGGAACTGTAGTCAGAGGTGCTTAGAGCCACCCAGTGGGGTGGGAACCAAGCCCAGGTCCTCTGCAAGAGCAGCCAGTGCGCTTAACCACTGAGCGGTCTCTCCAGACCCAGATGAGATTATTTGGAAACCGGGAGGCTTTGCTGTTGAACCTGACATATAGCAGTGTGTTTATTCTGCCTCAACTACTGAAGCCACGGGGGAGAGGAAAGCACTTTTCAGAGTGCAACAGGGATGACCAGCCTCTGAAGCACAAGGCTGAGTCAAGTGAAGACTTGTGGGTCCTCCAGACAGGGAGCTGCCACAGGCTGTTCCCTGCTCTGCATGCTCTTCCTCGGTGGTCCTGGCAACCAGGAAGGGGTGAGTATGGACATTTGTACCCAGTAAGAGAACTGCCTGACATTGCAGTGCTTAGCTTTGGGGTTCAGTGTTGCAGTAACAGCTACAGAACTATCCTTGCACACCAAGAATGTGCTCATGCACAGGAGGGCTCAGCTAGTTCTGTCTGTAATCAGCAGGTCTTGATGTCGACTGGCTGTGGATCTGAAAGCCTGGACAAGGAACAGTGTTTTCCTGTGGGTGCCTGTGTTCACAGCCCTCCTAACTCCCTTCCTAATGTATCTACAGGTTGCTCCATTGCTCACCAACATGGAAGAGACAGTTGGGTCTGTCGAAAATAAAGAATTTACATGCTTCTCCGATGCTATACCCATTCACAAAAACAGCAGTATTTTATCTGTAGAAGTGGTCAAGAATATTGAGGCTGCTGTGAAAGATGGAAAGTTGGGAGAAGTGGTCTCCATAGTCAAAGATATCAATCAGGAAGTATCAAGAAGCACAGTGAAAATTGCCGTGACTGGGGACTCTGGCAATGGCATGTCATCCTTCATCAATGCCCTTAGGCTCACTGGACATAAAGAGGAGGATTCAGCTCCCACTGAGGTGGTGAGGACCACCCAGAAGCCAACCTGTTACTTCTCCTCCAGCTTTCCCAATGTGGACCTGTGGGACCTGCCTGGCACAGGGGTCACAGCCCAGAGCATGGAGAACTACCTGGAGGAGATGGAGTTTGACAAATATGACCTTATCATCATCATCGCTTCTGAGCAGTTCAGTTCAAACCATGTGAGGCTGGCCAAAGCCATGCAGAGGTTGAGAAAGAGGTTCTATGTCGTCTGGACAAAGCTGGACAGGGACCTCGGTACAAGTGCCCACTCAGAACCCCAGCTACTGCGGAGTATCCAGGAGAGTATTCAGGAGAACCTCCAGAAGGAGGGGGTTAAGGTGCCACCCATATTTCTCGTATCCAGCATTGATCCTTCATCACATGACTTCCTGAAGCTCAGAGACACACTGAAAAAAGACATCTCCAGCATCAGACATGATGGTCTCTTAGGAACCCTTTTCCAAATCTGCGAGAAGACTATTAATGAGAAAGTAGAATCCATTAGTAGGAGCATAGATGAGGATAATCTAAAAGGTTTTGGAATCTCAAATCCAGATAATCTGGGAGAATGTCAGAAGGTCTTCCAAGAAATGTTTGGTGTGGATGAGAGATCTCTCCACCAGGTGGCTCTGAATATGAGCCAGCCTGATGCTTGTTCCAGGGATGCCAAGCCATCCCAGGTTACACAGAGAGACCAACAAGATGGCTGGACAGTGTCTGAGCTGTGTCGTTCCGGAACTCAATATGTGTTTACAAGTGTTTACTCCTTCACTTGCTGTTTTGACTCTCGCCGTCTTAGATGCTTTCAACTGAAACATGCACTTGATGAAGATGCTAAGCAAACCAAGAAAATTCTGTGGAAAATCCTGAGAGTCCATTATCCTTCCTCAGAAGGGCTAGACAACTGAGGTCCTCTCCCCAGCTCTGTCTACCCGAAGTTGAGCTTACCTGAGCTATGGATTCCAAGTTCCTTGAGGTTAATGGTCCACCTTCCTTGATGTGTGTACCCCTCAGGAAACTCCATAATGGATTTTGCTTTGTACCTTTTGTTTAATTTTATTAGCTGAACTATCTGGGATCCCAATATAGAAGAAATTTCCTTATTTTGACTGTACAGAATCTCACGTTTGACACACAGTTATCTTTGCACCTCTGATAGATATTGTTTCTCTAAGAGGCCTCCTGGTTTTCCCATCTCTCTTTCCCCTCTCTTCTTCTTCCCTGTCTTGGGTGGCAGTGCATCCCTGGGGGAATGAAGAAGAGCTTGCTTTTGTCCAAGGTCTGAAAGCATGGCTGGTAGAGGCCTGGTCTCTGACCTCTCCTCTGATGTGTAAAGAGAGGGGAATGAACTCTGCACCACTGGAAATGGGATTCACCAAGTGCTGAAAGGAAGAATTCTAAGTACCCAACACTGCCTCCAATGGCGTCATGTCTAGTCATGGCCCCTCCCACTCTGTGCATTCCCAGTCCCCTATTGGATCTGAACTTCTTCAGCCACCCCTAACTCTACAGGCCAGACACGCGGACCCTCCTCTCTTCCACATGGAGCTTTCCCATTTCCCTCAGTTTGTGTGTGTGTGTGTGTGTGTGTGTGTGTGTGTGTGTGTGTGTGTGTGTGTGTGTGTCTTTATCTAAGACAGAGGCTGCCTGGCATTCTGTCACCTCTCTTTCCGTCAGGCCATCCTTTAACTGTCTCAGCCCTGTGCCCTCCACTTCTTTCAGGACACTAATTACTCCCCCACTTCCCACCATTACAGTGTCACATCCCAGCACACCTGCTTTCATGTCAGTTGTTCCAGGAAGGGTATGTTGGCCTCGTAGTTTGACAGTCCAGCCATCGTTGCTGAAAGTCATCACAGCAGGAGCACAGGGCAGCTGGCCACATTGTGTCCACAGTCAGGAAGCAGAGAGAGAAAGATGGATACCGTTCCTTGGCACACTCTTCCTTTCTTTCAGCCCAAGACCCCAGCCCATAGAACGATTCCATCCACGTTCAGAGTGGATCTTCCAACCGCACTGAACCAAGTTGAGAAACTCCCTCATAAATGTGCCCAAAGGCCTGTTTGCATTCTAGATCGTGCCAAATTGACATTCAGTATTAACAGGAAAGGTACTGTGATAGCAGAGGGGTGTATTGGAGTTTTATTGATTAATAGTGTGAAGAAGATTGGGTGTGGCTCAGTAGTCCAGTGCTTGCCTAGCACACAGGAGGCTATGGTTTTGAGACCCAGAAAGAAAGAAACAAAACCTGTTTTGAGACAGGAAGACAGTGCCAATTGTATTTGTTGAGAAAAATGCATCAACTGTATCATCTTGCTGGCACAACTTTGTGAAAGAGCATCATGTAAATGTAAAAGGTAGGTCTACTTTATATGCTGGGTAAGGATGGGATGGACTAAGACCTGTCAGTGGTGGTGGGATTGGGGTTGAGGGGATAAAGCTCTGGCTAGCCTCACTTTCCACCTGCTCAAATCTGTTCGTGTAAATCGATAGACTCCCAGGAAAGGTCTGCAAAGAAGTCAGAGAAGTTTTGTTTGTCATCCTCATGATGCTCAGAAATAATTTCTGATGCCGAGTTTATAGCGTGGATTTCGCTGCAGTGTGCTCAGTGTTAAAGTGAGGGGGCTTGCTCTTTGAAAGTTGTGGGTGTTACTGCTGAGGTTGTGTGTGTTTGTCATGGGGAATCTAACCTGGCCCCAGTACTGAGGAAACTGACATGCTGACTGTGATTTCACTCTTAGCCCGCTGCAAAAGCAGGGTGTAAATTCTCTCTATGTCTTAGAACATATGTGTAGATTTTCTTTTTGCTAGTTGTATATACAGACCTATTTATGTACAGATACAGAAATATATGTACACATTATAAATTCATCACACACATGTATGATGTATGGCATGTAACATACATGGTGTTAATCCTTATCATAAATAACTAATAAGAGTATACAATATAAATATGTGTTGGTTTTTGTTCTTTTTTATTTTTGATAACTTCCCATGAGTCCTGTATCTATATCACTCCCACTCCTTCCTTCCTCCACATACTCCTCCTGAGCTCCCAAATGTATCTTTTGGAGGGTGACTGAGACAGAGTTTCTCTGTTTAACAGCCCTGGCTGTCCTGGAACTCACTTTGTAGACCAGGCTGGCCTCCTACTCACAGAGATCCACCTGCCTCTGCCTCCTGAGTGCTGGGATTAAAGGTGTGAGCCACCACTGCCTGCCCACTCCCCAGATGTTTTTAATAATACATTTATTTTTGGTTTTCTTTATTAAAAAAAATTATTTTATTTTATGTGCATTGGCATTTTTGCATGTACGTCTGTGTGAAGGTGTCAGATTTTGGAGTTAGAGACAGTTGTTAGCTGCCATATGGGTGTTTGGAACTGAACCTGAGTTCGGCGCTCTTAACCATTGAGCCATCTCTCCAGCCCCTTTTTTTGGTTTTCCGAGAGAGGATTTCTCTGTGTAGCCCTGGCTGTCCTGGAACTTGCTCTGTAGACCAGGCTGGTCTTGAACTCACAGAAATCTGCCTGCCTCTGCCTCCCAAGTGGTGGGATTGAAGGAGTGTGCCATCACTGCCCAGCAATAATGGATTTTTTAAAAAGATATAATTTGTGTGTGTGTGTGTGTGTGTGTGTGTGTGTGTGTGTGTGTGTGTGTGTGTGTGTGTTTGTATAAATAGGGATATCCAGGGGAGCCAAAGGCATTGGATTCCCTTCAGCTAGAGTTGAGAGGTAGTTGGGATCCTGAGGTAGGTGCTGGGAACAGAACTTGGGTCCTCTGCAAGAGCAGTATACACTCTTGATCTCTGAGATCTCTCTCCAGTCCCTTATGGTGGCTTTTTAAGAATAAAGTTTAGCCTTGCGATGGTGACACATGCCTTAAATCCAGCACTCCGGAGGCAGAGCCAGGCAGATCTCTGTGAATTGGAGGACAGCCTGAGCTACAGAGTGAGATCGGGGACAGGTACCAAAACTACACAGAGAAACCCTATCTTGGAAAGAAAAAAAAAAGAATAAAGTTTCAGGGCTGGAGAGATTTCTCAAAGGACCAAATGCCACTGACCGAGCAGGAGGACCTGACTTTGAATATCTACCATCTATATAAAAGAACAGGTGTGGTAGTGCATGCCTGTGAGGAATTTGGTGGGGATAGGTGGATCGCAGGAGCCTGCTGGTCAGCTGGTCTAGTCAAAACAGCAACATCCAGGTTCTGTGAGAGACCTTGTCTCTGAAAATAAGGTGGAGGGTAATAGAGGAAGACCCATGACATTGATCTCTGATCTCTTACACAAACATACAGGCAAGCACCATGGTGCACACACATGCATACACACACACCCACACACCACACACACATTCTATTTTTCAAATTTCACTTGTAACATCAAAAGTGTCAAAACCTATTTCCACCACCATGGAGGGTCTCCCATACGACAGCCATCTCTCCACACATCATATCCCAGGGTCTTCTCTCTTTATTTACCAAGGAGGAACTGACACACAGAAGTAAACTTATGCAGGAGGCTCAGCTAGTCTGACGTGTAAATATAGGGCTACCCTCAGACATTATCTCCCCAGAAGAGTCTGCAACACTTTAGCATGAACATGCAGCTGCTTTCAGTATAGTGCTCCAAACAGAGCAGAATGAGCTACAGAGAGACACTATGAAAGAGCTCTGATTGCCCGGGAATTGGAAGGCTGCTCAGGGATAGACTTGCTTTCACTTGAGAGCTTGGGAAGGAGGTCCTGCTGTGAAGACAGTTACTGGTTGTAGAGGGGTTACTTCTGCAGAACTGACATGTCCCCTCCTGGGATGCTCACAGGCTCAAGAAGTAAACAACATTCACAAGGCCCCTCTCCACAACGTTATATAAGAAATAGCAATTCTGGGGAAGAAGGGTCTCTGAACAGTGGCGCTGCTAGGCAACTCCAGGAATACAGCTTTCATGACCTTTGACACACACTGGATTGGCTTTGCATCGATGTAGCCTCTGAAACACTCTGCTTCTGAAAGTAGCCCTTTGCCTATTGCTGCAAGCCACAGGAAAATGTAATGGAATCCAGCTATTATCACAAAAGGTACTACTTGGAAAAGTTAAGGACTTTTCTGAATGTCAAGCCAAGGCTTAAGAAGTCCTGGTGATATTTTAGCTTTTGTATATATATTATCTGGTCCTACAATGATTTTCTTTTTTTAAAAAAAAAACTTATTTATTTTATTTGTAAGAGTGTTTTGTTTGCATGCTTATGTATGTGCATCACACATGTGCCTGGTACCCAAGGAAGTCAGAAGAGGGTGCCAGATGCTCTGGAACTGGAGTTACAGATGGTTGTTAGCTACTAGGCAAATGTTTGGACTTGAACCCAGGTCCTCAGATACAGCAACCAGTCCTCTTAACCTCTGAGCCATTACTCCAGGCCCCAGTGTTTTTCTTGTAATGCTATATGTGCTTCCAAGAACTGCCAACAGTGTATTTATCTAAATTTCCTATCAAGCATCCAAGGCCAAACTGAAACAACACCTGTCTTCTAGGTCAGGCAGATAGCTTTATTTCTCGTGCAATTTAGGGTGAGACCCTCCTTTCCTATACAACCTTACTAATAGACCCCAACTTCTTACCTAACCACTTCTAGGAATGTAGACTGAGCACATAGATCCCCTTTGCGATACTAACCGGGCATTAGCACTCAGTTGACCTCCTCTTTTACCACTCCCATTTGGGGTTGTAATAGAAAGCCTGACAGTCACTGCCTGAGGAAAATTCTTACCTACCCTTATGACGCCATAAGAATTCAAGCCTGGTGACCTTGCTCTGGCAGAGGACTGCTATTGCTTGGGTTTTAACTGGATTCCTGAAAGACTTGGGGAGAACTGAGAGAATAAGGAGACTGAGAGGAGGAGAGAGAGAGGAAAAAAGAGAACGGAAGAACTAGATGGTAAGAACTGGAGAGGAATGGACTAGATGGGAAGAACTAGACTGAAGGACTAAAGGAGAGTACTAGAGGAACAAGATGGAAGATGAGGAAGAGCCAGATGGGGAAGAACAAGATGAGAGAGATGAGATGGGAGAGGAGCTGATATGGGAAAGAACTAGATGGATGAGAACCTAGATGGGGCAGAACTAGGAAGAGAGAATTAGAACTTAGAGGGGACAGCAGATAAATGTAGAGAGAAATCAGGCAAGACAGGGGCTAGGCATGAGAGCAGAATAGAAGCTGTGTAGAGAGAGAACTGACTCAGAAGAATAAAGTGTATGGACTAAGGAGTTTCGTGTATAAAGATTCATTTCTTATCATCAAAGATTAATTATCAGCTGGTTGTAGATTCTTCCTGAATGTTGGGAGGGGACTATTGAAGGGCTGGACCCCCATCGTCCCCAGTAGCCTATGTTCCTGTAACCCTAAGAAACCCATTGGTTTAGCAAACTAGACTTGGGTGGAATCGCTTCTCTGGGAGCCCTTGGTGGCCTATCTGGGGTGACTAGTTACTTGCTTAGCTCTCCCTGGGAACAAACACACAATGCCGGTTCTCACTCACATCCATGTAATGAGCATAGTGGTCACTATGGCAAGAAAGCATAAGAGAGTTTGAAGCATAACTAACTGTAAGCATGTAATGTCAGAACCCAGCCACCACTGCTAGGCCACAGCACCTCCAGTCTGCTCTTCTCAGACACTGACAGGTGCCCTACTGACACACTGTGAGTCTCTAGCTAACAGACTTCCTGGTTGGTGCCTGAGTGTCTGCAGCTCTCTAAGTGCTGGGGTTCATAGGGTTTGAAGGGGTTAGGTGTTATTTTCTGAGCAAGAGGGGACTCCAAAAAGGGAGGCAAGCAGGATTCACCAGGAGGCTCTGAGTGCAGTTTGGATATCACTGTTCCTGGGCAGACTTCCCACCCTCAAGCCTGGCCCTCTGACAGAACCCTGCACCCCATCACTGCAGGAAGAGTTTGGAGCCTGTGTTGCTGAATCCTGAAAACCAGCCATTTCCAGGAACAGAAACTGAAAGCTGCTCTGGAAGCAGGTTCCTCCCTCTGGGGAGGCAGGCAGGGCTCCTGCCTACAAATGAGGAGTGGAGCCCGGTCCAGAGTGGAGCAGAGTACAGAGTGGAGCCGCTTCCAGAGTGGACCAAGGTCCAGAGTGGAGCAGGGTCTGAGAGGAGCAGAGTACAGTGTGGAGCAGAGTACAAAGTGGAGCAGGGTCTGAGAGGAAGCCCAGGAGCTCAGGCTTCCCTTCAGCTGCTCCCCTCCTCTATCGCTCTTCCCAGGAGGACCCCAGCCCTCCACTGCTCGACTGTCTCCTCCTGAACATCCTGGGCCTGGATTCCAGTTTTACAAGGCTTCTGAGCAGGTAGGTGAGAGGCTCCTAAGTGCAGCTTGGCCTATAAACTGCTCAGGGCATGAGAGTCTGGAGTCTGGTGTTCCTCTCAGGGATTGTGTGCAGCAGGCACCTGCCCTGATCTTCTTCAGGACCACACAGTCCCTTGTGTTTTGGCTGAAAAGAGTCTTTCCAACCCACCAGCAGAGAGGCAATGTGCCCCTTTCTTACCTCATATCCCTGGATTGTGGGTCTTCTTAGGAGGCCTAGTTCAGAAAAAGCAGATGGGGTTTCACACAATCTCTCAGCCACTGGCCAGAGTCCAGCATCAGAACTTCCCACTGGCAATATTGGGATGTCCCAGGATTATGTAAACACATTGGTTCTCTTTTCAGAGCTCACAGAGACTGGAACTTGAAAGATTGAGGTCCTAAGCAAATCTTCTATTCATATTATAATATATATATTTAATAATTCCGTTCAGTTTTTTTAAAAATTATTTATTCAGTGTGTGTCTTTGTGTGTCTGTGTCTGTGTGCATGTGGATGTCAGGGGATAACCTGTGGGGCTGATTCTTTCTGCAACTGAACTCGTGTTGTCAGACTTGCTGGCAAGTATGTTTACTTGCTAAGCCATCTCACTGGCCCCTTTAAAACACACAGCCGAAACATCGAAACAAGGCAAAAACCAGTTCAAGTATTTCATCTGCATTAGAGAAACTGGCACACCACAGTCACTAGCTCAGTCCTTCATGGAGCGTTAGAGTGTGTATCCGTGTTGCACACTTTAAATACATCCCAGAGCATGCTCGCAGGGTCCAAGGCTGTTCCCGAGGACCCTGGGGTGGATCCCCTGGGGTGGACCTAATGGTGAAGAGTGTAGGAACAAAGGAGGGGTTGAGGGTGCGATAGGATCTATGTTCACAAAAGCCCCTGACAGCTCAGAACCGTGGCTAGTCTAGGCTGGTTCCCCCATCTCTGCAGTACCTTTGATGGAGGCTCAGGCTGGGTGAGGTGGCCCACACGTGTCAGCATAGCACTGGGGAAGTGCGGCAGAAGATTCAGGTCAAGGTTACACAGGGAGTTCTAGACTAGCACAGTGGATGTGAGACTGCGATTTGCATTTTAAAATGTACACTCTTTATTAGTCTATAATAATTGCGTAAAATAATGGGTTGTGGGCCAGTGAGCTTGCTTAGTGGGTAGAAGTGATTGCTCCCAAGCCTGATGACCTGAGATTGATCCCAAGGACCCACATGGGAGAAGGAGAGAACTGACTCCCACAGGCTGTCCTCTGACTTCTACGTGCGCATTTGCCATGCTCAACACACCTGCCACACATATAAATAAATAAATGCAAAAACGGAGACATTTCTTAAAGTATCAGGTTTCATGATGGCATTTTCACATATGGATAAGGTCAGTCTTCATTAGGGTCCTGGGCTCTGACAACACAGCTGACAGGAAGCATCTTAAGGGAGGAAGGCTTATGTGGCTCCTGTTAAGAGGATGCAGCCCAGCAGGGTGGGGAAGGTGTGGCCACAGGGGCTCAAGTCAGCTGATCTCAGGATTCCACAGTCTGGACATAGAGAGAGGTGCATGCTGGGGCTCAGCTTCATTTCATCCCTTTGTCTTTTTATCCAGTTCCGGACCCCAATCCGTGATGGCAATGTCTCCATCCAAGGTGAGTCTGGCTCCCTCAGGTAACCCTCTGTGGAAACTGTCTCAGGGATCTACATAAAGGTGGCCTCACTAATGCCTCAGGTGTGTACAGTCCAGTCAGGCAGGCAACCGAAATTGACCCTCACAGGGGCTTCGAGCATCTTGCACCCCCTATTACCCATAGTTTTTATTTTGTTTTACTTAAGTCACAACATATTGGTGGGTCATCAGGAACTTTTTAGTAAAGTTGTGCAGTTGGAATAAGTATAATAAAACACAAGTCTCTGGATATTATTGCACATGTCTTTAGTTCCAGTCTCAGGAGGCAGAGGTAGATGGATCTCTGTGAGTTCGAGGCCAGCCTGGTCTACATAATGTGTTCCGGGAAAGCCAGGGCTCTATAGAGAGACTCTATCTAAAAAATAAATAAATAAAATAAAATACAAATCAACTGATTCCAGTAGAATCACATGTAGCCTATGTGAACCACACAGCAGAACCCCTCATTCAGTTGTGTGTGTGTGTGTACCTGTGCAATCATGCATGCATGCATGTGTGTGAGAGCATGCCCTGGCTTCTATGAAGTGCACCTCTTCCTGTGAGTATGTTAGGAGATCCCTGAGTCATGGCTCACAGGGTCTGATTCTCCTCCCAGGCCTGGCTGTCTCTCTCCAGTGAATTTGCTTGTCGGGCTCCCTTCAGAGGCCAGGAGGGCCTGTTCCTCATCCTCCACATGGATCTCTGACCCATGTGCCCAGGGGTGAACCAGAGACATCAGAGGTATAAATTGAACAGGGCCCTCAAATAGGGAAGTGTGGGCACTTGAACTCCAGACTGACCTCTTGAGGGTTCCCTCTTGGCAAAGCCTGGTCACTGTCTGAGCCACGGTTCCTGTAGCTGTCCACATGAACAGCTCTACAGGACTCCTCCTGGTATTTTGTCACAGGAGTGAAAAAGGCAGCTACTCCAGTTATCTGCAGAAAACTAGGGATTTAGGAATTTGCCCACAATTCACCAAGCCAGCAGCTTTGGGGACTCAGGATGGGGTGTCAGCCTACTCTTTCCATGTGGAGACTAAAGCCAGTCCCTCAGGCTGATGAACAGAGGTTTGTGGGGAGCAGTGGTGTGCTGCAGGCAGGAGAGCCCGTCCCAGAAGATGAGCAAGTGAGACAGAGGATGCTCCCACTGGGAGTATGGAGAAGAAACCAGTACCAAAAACTTAAGGGTGCCTGAGAAGCACCTTCCACAGACAAGAGCCCTGGATTTCGAGGGAAAACACCTGGGCACAGTCTGGTTATTTCATGGAACTCAGGAGTAATTCTGGAAGAGAGATTTTTTTCTTCTTTCTTTTCTTTTCTCTTCTCTTCTCTTCTCTTTCTTCCCTCCTTCCTTCCTTTCTCCCTTCCTTCCTTCCTTCCTTCCTTCTTTCCTTCCTTCCTTCCTTCCTTCTTCCTTCCTTCCTTTCTTTCTTTCTTCTTTCTTTCAACAGGGTTTCTCTGTGTAGTCCTGGCTATACTGGAACTCACTCTGTAGCCCATGCTGGCCTAGAACTCACAGAGATTTGCCTGCCTCTGCCTCCCTTGCTCAGTGCTGGGATTAAAGGCATACTCTGCCACCACCTAGATGGCAGGGAGCTTCTTAAAGGACAGAAAAACTATGTGAGACTCAAGGAAATTTCCCAAATATATGGTGCTGAGTTTCAAATGCTTTTAGTCTTTTACACACACAAAACAGGAAAATAAAATTTCAAGAGGAAGAGTCCCATCAATCTCTCCAAATTCTGGAACAGCACATGCCTGTCCCATGTAGGGCCTTTATCTAAGAACAGTGGTTAAGGTATATGCTGCTGTCTTGCATCTCAAGATTTGGTGTGGTCCTGTGAAATGGTTGGAGTCCTGTCCTCACACTAATATGTCTCAGTGTCCTCTCCAGAAGGCCAGCACTCTAGTGATTACCTGTGCCGGGTATGGGTTAATCATCCTACATCTTCCATCTTTTAAAAATTAATTTCCTTTTTTTTTTGGGAAGGTCTCTCACTATGTAGCCCTCACTGTTTGGCCTAGAACTCACAGACACTCTCCTGCCTCTGCCTCCCAGTGCTGGGATTAAAGACATGCACCACCATGCCCAGCTTGGTATCATTTTTAATCATGTGCATATGTGTGTCTGTGTGGAGCATAGGCACATTTGTACAGTGCCTCAGGAACCCAGAAGAGGGCGTCAGATCCTCTGGAATTGGAGTTCCAGGAGGATGTGGATCGCCTGATATAGATGCTGGGAAAGGAGCCTACATCCTATGGAAAGGCAATAAGTGCTCTTAACCCCTGAGCCATCTCTCCAACCCCCAAACCTCCATCCTTGATGTTGGAAAATTATGTTTCCCAATCCTGTCCCACAAAATACTTGAGTGCCGTGGCAAGGATTTAGTCAAGAACAGAAACATGATTGAATGGCCTACCCTAAGAAGGTCATCTGTATCTCTGTATCAGTGTCCCCATGGCTCAAAGAATAGGTTAGAAGAGGACATGGGAAGTATGTAAAAACTGTAGAGAGCATGCTCGTGTGTGTGTCAGTGGTTGTGTGTGTTTGTGTGTGTGTGTGTGTGTGTGTGTGTGTGTGTGTGTAAAATGTTGACTTCTGAACTAGCTTAGTGGTGGCACTTTTGAACCCACTGCAGCTGTGGTTACTTGTACAAGATCACCACAGGACGGGGCCTGTTGACATCCTGTTATGGAAAGGGGAGGGTATGGTGAGTCCCCACCCCTCCCTGAGGATTTACACACAGTAAATAGTTGATGAAGGAAGGAGGGACATTTTTGTCAGTCCCTAGCCACTGAGAAAATGCACATGCTGCTGTAAGACAATTCTCACTCCTGCTTTTATAAACACTCAAATGAGACTCACTGGGCCAAAAAGAAGGGAAAAAAAAACCCACAAATAATGAAAAACAACCATGAATGTAGAAGGGGGACAGGCTGGGAAGAGGACAGACATCACTGGGAACAGGGGGAGGGCTAGAAAAATGAACGGGTGGGCATGAATACAATAAAAAACACATGATGTTCATGTGTGCAAATGTCATACTAAAACCCAGTATTATATCATTAATGTATACGAAAATTGCTGAGCGTGATGGTGCATGCTTTAATCACAGCATTGAGGAGGTAGAGGCAGGCAGATCTGAGTGCAAGGCCAGCCTGGTCTACAGAGCAAGTTCAGGTCAGCCAGGGCTACACTGTCTCAAAACAAAAACAGCCAAAAATTATATGTGCTAATCAAAACATTAAAAAGAAACCTGTTCACAGAAGAATTTCAGTCTGTATGTTAATAAGAATAGCTGCAGTGATAATAGACAGCCCACATGCTGTCTTAAAATTGATGGAATTTTTATTCTTTTTTAAAGATTTAGTTTTATGTGTATGTGTGCCTGAGTGTCTGTATATGCACATGTGCAGGCAGGAATTCTTGGAGTCCAGAAGAGGGTTTTGGAATCCCTGGAACTGTAGTCAGAGGTGCTTATGAGCCACCCAGTGGGGTGGGAACCAAGCCCAGGTCCTCTGCAAGAGCAGCCAGTGCGCTTAACCACTGAGCGGTCTCTCCAGACCCAGATGAGATTATTTGGAAACCGGGAGGCTTTGCTGTTGAACCTGACATATAGCAGTGTGTTTATTCTGCCTCAACTACTGAAGCCACGGGGGAGAGGAAAGCACTTTTCAGAGTGCAACAGGGATGACCAGCCTCTGAAGCACAAGGCTGAGTCAAGTGAAGACTTGTGGGTCCTCCAGACAGGGAGCTGCCACAGGCTGTTCCCTGCTCTGCATGCTCTTCCTCGGTGGTCCTGGCAACCAGGAAGGGGTGAGTATGGACATTTGTACCCAGTAAGAGAACTGCCTGACATTGCAGTGCTTAGCTTTGGGGTTCAGTGTTGCAGTAACAGCTACAGAACTATCCTTGCACACCAAGAATGTGCTCATGCACAGGAGGCTCAGCTAGTTCTGTCTGTAATCAGCAGGTCTTGATGTCGACTGGCTGTGGATCTGAAAGCCTGGACAAGGAACAGTGTTTTCCTGTGGGTGCCTGTGTTCACAGCCCTCCTAACTCCCTTCCTAATGTATCTACAGGTTGCTCCATTGCTCACCAACATGGAAGAGACAGTTGGGTCTGTCGAAAATAAAGAATTTACATGCTTCTCCGATGCTATACCCATTCACAAAAACAGCAGTATTTTATCTGTAGAAGTGGTCAAGAATATTGAGGCTGCTGTGAAAGATGGAAAGTTGGGAGAAGTGGTCTCCATAGTCAAAGATATCAATCAGGAAGTATCAAGAAGCACAGTGAAAATTGCCGTGACTGGGGACTCTGGCAATGGCATGTCATCCTTCATCAATGCCCTTAGGCTCACTGGACATAAAGAGGAGGATTCAGCTCCCACTGAGGTGGTGAGGACCACCCAGAAGCCAACCTGTTACTTCTCCTCCAGCTTTCCCAATGTGGACCTGTGGGACCTGCCTGGCACAGGGGTCACAGCCCAGAGCATGGAGAACTACCTGGAGGAGATGGAGTTTGACAAATATGACCTTATCATCATCATCGCTTCTGAGCAGTTCAGTTCAAACCATGTGAGGCTGGCCAAAGCCATGCAGAGGTTGAGAAAGAGGTTCTATGTCGTCTGGACAAAGCTGGACAGGGACCTCGGTACAAGTGCCCACTCAGAACCCCAGCTACTGCGGAGTATCCAGGAGAGTATTCAGGAGAACCTCCAGAAGGAGGGGGTTAAGGTGCCACCCATATTTCTCGTATCCAGCATTGATCCTTCATCACATGACTTCCTGAAGCTCAGAGACACACTGAAAAAAGACATCTCCAGCATCAGACATGATGGTCTCTTAGGAACCCTTTTCCAAATCTGCGAGAAGACTATTAATGAGAAAGTAGAATCCATTAGTAGGAGCATAGATGAGGATAATCTAAAAGGTTTTGGAATCTCAAATCCAGATAATCTGGGAGAATGTCAGAAGGTCTTCCAAGAAATGTTTGGTGTGGATGAGAGATCTCTCCACCAGGTGGCTCTGAATATGAGCCAGCCTGATGCTTGTTCCAGGGATGCCAAGCCATCCCAGGTTACACAGAGAGACCAACAAGATGGCTGGACAGTGTCTGAGCTGTGTCGTTCCGGAACTCAATATGTGTTTACAAGTGTTTACTCCTTCACTTGCTGTTTTGACTCTCGCCGTCTTAGATGCTTTCAACTGAAACATATGCTTGATGAAGATGCTAAGCAAACCAAGAAAATTCTGTGGAAAATCCTGAGAAATAACATTATCCTTCCTCAGAAGGGCTAGACAACTGAGGTCCTCTCCCCAGCTCTGTCTACCCGAAGTTGAGCTTACCTGAGCTATGGATTCCAAGTTCCTTGAGGTTAATGGTCCACCTTCCTTGATGTGTGTACCCCTCAGGAAACTCCATAATGGATTTTGCTTTGTACTCTTTTGTTTAATTTTATTAGCTGAACTATCTGGGATCCCAATATAGAAGAATTTCCTTATTTTGACTGTACAGAATCTCACGTTTGACACACAGTTATCTTTGCACCTCTGATAGATATTGTTTCTCTAAGAGGCCTCCTGGTTTTCCCATCTCTCTTTCCCCTCTCTTCTTCTTCCCTGTCTTGGGTGGCAGTGCATCCCTGGGGGAATGAAGAAGAGCTTGCTTTTGTCCAAGGTCTGAAAGCATGGCTGGTAGAGGCCTGGTCTCTGACCTCTCCTCTGATGTGTAAAGAGAGGGGAATGAACTCTGCACCACTGGAAATGGGATTCACCAAGTGCTGAAAGGAAGAATTCTAAGTACCCAACACTGCCTCCAATGGCGTCATGTCTAGTCATGGCCCCTCCCACTCTGTGCATTCCCAGTCCCCTATTGGATCTGAACTTCTTCAGCCACCCCTAACTCTACAGGCCAGACACGCGGACCCTCCTCTCTTCCACATGGAGCTTTCCCATTTCCCTCAGTTTGTGTGTGTGTGTGTGTGTGTGTGTGTGTGTGTGTGTGTGTGTGTGTGTGTGTGTGTGTCTTTATCTAAGACAGAGGCTGCCTGGCATTCTGTCACCTCTCTTTCCGTCAGGCCATCCTTTAACTGTCTCAGCCCTGTGCCCTCCACTTCTTTCAGGACACTAATTACTCCCCCACTTCCCACCATTACAGTGTCACATCCCAGCACACCTGCTTTCATGTCAGTTGTTCCAGGAAGGGTATGTTGGCCTCGTAGTTTGACAGTCCAGCCATCGTTGCTGAAAGTCATCACAGCAGGAGCACAGGGCAGCTGGCCACATTGTGTCCACAGTCAGGAAGCAGAGAGAGAAAGATGGATACCGTTCCTTGGCACACTCTTCCTTTCTTTCAGCCCAAGACCCCAGCCCATAGAACGATTCCATCCACGTTCAGAGTGGATCTTCCAACCGCACTGAACCAAGTTGAGAAACTCCCTCATAAATGTGCCCAAAGGCCTGTTTGCATTCTAGATCGTGCCAAATTGACATTCAGTATTAACAGGAAAGGTACTGTGATAGCAGAGGGGTGTATTGGAGTTTTATTGATTAATAGTGTGAAGAAGATTGGGTGTGGCTCAGTAGTCCAGTGCTTGCCTAGCACACAGGAGGCTATGGTTTTGAGACCCAGAAAGAAAGAAACAAAACCTGTTTTGAGACAGGAAGACAGTGCCAATTGTATTTGTTGAGAAAAATGCATCAACTGTATCATCTTGCTGGCACAACTTTGTGAAAGAGCATCATGTAAATGTAAAAGGTAGGTCTACTTTATATGCTGGGTAAGGATGGGATGGACTAAGACCTGTCAGTGGTGGTGGGATTGGGGTTGAGGGGATAAAGCTCTGGCTAGCCTCACTTTCCACCTGCTCAAATCTGTTCGTGTAAATCGATAGACTCCCAGGAAAGGTCTGCAAAGAAGTCAGAGAAGTTTTGTTTGTCATCCTCATGATGCTCAGAAATAATTTCTGATGCCGAGTTTATAGCGTGGATTTCGCTGCAGTGTGCTCAGTGTTAAAGTGAGGGGGCTTGCTCTTTGAAAGTTGTGGGTGTTACTGCTGAGGTTGTGTGTGTTTGTCATGGGGAATCTAACCTGGCCCCAGTACTGAGGAAACTGACATGCTGACTGTGATTTCACTCTTAGCCCGCTGCAAAAGCAGGGTGTAAATTCTCTCTATGTCTTAGAACATATGTGTAGATTTTCTTTTTGCTAGTTGTATATACAGACCTATTTATGTACAGATACAGAAATATATGTACACATTATAAATTCATCACACACATGTATGATGTATGGCATGTAACATACATGGTGTTAATCCTTATCATAAATAACTAATAAGAGTATACAATATAAATATGTGTTGGTTTTTGTTCTTTTTTATTTTTGATAACTTCCCATGAGTCCTGTATCTATATCACTCCCACTCCTTCCTTCCTCCACATACTCCTCCTGAGCTCCCAAATGTATCTTTTGGAGGGTGACTGAGACAGAGTTTCTCTGTTTAACAGCCCTGGCTGTCCTGGAACTCACTTTGTAGACCAGGCTGGCCTCCTACTCACAGAGATCCACCTGCCTCTGCCTCCTGAGTGCTGGGATTAAAGGTGTGAGCCACCACTGCCTGCCCACTCCCCAGATGTTTTTAATAATACATTTATTTTTGGTTTTCTTTATTAAAAAAAATTATTTTATTTTATGTGCATTGGCATTTTTGCATGTACGTCTGTGTGAAGGTGTCAGATTTTGGAGTTAGAGACAGTTGTTAGCTGCCATATGGGTGTTTGGAACTGAACCTGAGTTCGGCGCTCTTAACCATTGAGCCATCTCTCCAGCCCCTTTTTTTGGTTTTCCGAGAGAGGATTTCTCTGTGTAGCCCTGGCTGTCCTGGAACTTGCTCTGTAGACCAGGCTGGTCTTGAACTCACAGAAATCTGCCTGCCTCTGCCTCCCAAGTGGTGGGATTGAAGGAGTGTGCCATCACTGCCCAGCAATAATGGATTTTTTAAAAAGATATAATTTGTGTGTGTGTGTGTGTGTGTGTGTGTGTGTGTGTGTGTGTGTGTGTGTGTGTGTTTGTATAAATAGGGATATCCAGGGGAGCCAAAGGCATTGGATTCCCTTCAGCTAGAGTTGAGAGGTAGTTGGGATCCTGAGGTAGGTGCTGGGAACAGAACTTGGGTCCTCTGCAAGAGCAGTATACACTCTTGATCTCTGAGATCTCTCTCCAGTCCCTTATGGTGGCTTTTTAAGAATAAAGTTTAGCCTTGCGATGGTGACACATGCCTTAAATCCAGCACTCCGGAGGCAGAGCCAGGCAGATCTCTGTGAATTGGAGGACAGCCTGAGCTACAGAGTGAGATCGGGGACAGGTACCAAAACTACACAGAGAAACCCTATCTTGGAAAGAAAAAAAAAAGAATAAAGTTTCAGGGCTGGAGAGATTTCTCAAAGGACCAAATGCCACTGACCGAGCAGGAGGACCTGACTTTGAATATCTACCATCTATATAAAAGAACAGGTGTGGTAGTGCATGCCTGTGAGGAATTTGGTGGGGATAGGTGGATCGCAGGAGCCTGCTGGTCAGCTGGTCTAGTCAAAACAGCAACATCCAGGTTCTGTGAGAGACCTTGTCTCTGAAAATAAGGTGGAGGGTAATAGAGGAAGACCCATGACATTGATCTCTGATCTCTTACACAAACATACAGGCAAGCACCATGGTGCACACACATGCATACACACACACCCACACACCACACACACATTCTATTTTTCAAATTTCACTTGTAACATCAAAAGTGTCAAAACCTATTTCCACCACCATGGAGGGTCTCCCATACGACAGCCATCTCTCCACACATCATATCCCAGGGTCTTCTCTCTTTATTTACCAAGGAGGAACTGACACACAGAAGTAAACTTATGCAGGAGGCTCAGCTAGTCTGACGTGTAAATATAGGGCTACCCTCAGACATTATCTCCCCAGAAGAGTCTGCAACACTTTAGCATGAACAGGCAGCTGCTTTCAGTATAGTGCTCCAAACAGAGCAGAATGAGCTACAGAGAGACACTATGAAAGAGCTCTGATTGCCCGGGAATTGGAAGGCTGCTCAGGGATAGACTTGCTTTCACTTGAGAGCTTGGGAAGGAGGTCCTGCTGTGAAGACAGTTACTGGTTGTAGAGGGGTTACTTCTGCAGAACTGACATGTCCCCTCCTGGGATGCTCACAGGCTCAAGAAGTAAACAACATTCACAAGGCCCCTCTCCACAACGTTATATAAGAAATAGCAATTCTGGGGAAGAAGGGTCTCTGAACAGTGGCGCTGCTAGGCAACTCCAGGAATACAGCTTTCATGACCTTTGACACACACTGGATTGGCTTTGCATCGATGTAGCCTCTGAAACACTCTGCTTCTGAAAGTAGCCCTTTGCCTATTGCTGCAAGCCACAGGAAAATGTAATGGAATCCAGCTATTATCACAAAAGGTACTACTTGGAAAAGTTAAGGACTTTTCTGAATGTCAAGCCAAGGCTTAAGAAGTCCTGGTGATATTTTAGCTTTTGTATATATATTATCTGGTCCTACAATGATTTTCTTTTTTTAAAAAAAAAACTTATTTATTTTATTTGTAAGAGTGTTTTGTTTGCATGCTTATGTATGTGCATCACACATGTGCCTGGTACCCAAGGAAGTCAGAAGAGGGTGCCAGATGCTCTGGAACTGGAGTTACAGATGGTTGTTAGCTACTAGGCAAATGTTTGGACTTGAACCCAGGTCCTCAGATACAGCAACCAGTCCTCTTAACCTCTGAGCCATTACTCCAGGCCCCAGTGTTTTTCTTGTAATGCTATATGTGCTTCCAAGAACTGCCAACAGTGTATTTATCTAAATTTCCTATCAAGCATCCAAGGCCAAACTGAAACAACACCTGTCTTCTAGGTCAGGCAGATAGCTTTATTTCTCGTGCAATTTAGGGTGAGACCCTCCTTTCCTATACAACCTTACTAATAGACCCCAACTTCTTACCTAACCACTTCTAGGAATGTAGACTGAGCACATAGATCCCCTTTGCGATACTAACCGGGCATTAGCACTCAGTTGACCTCCTCTTTTACCACTCCCATTTGGGGTTGTAATAGAAAGCCTGACAGTCACTGCCTGAGGAAAATTCTTACCTACCCTTATGACGCCATAAGAATTCAAGCCTGGTGACCTTGCTCTGGCAGAGGACTGCTATTGCTTGGGTTTTAACTGGATTCCTGAAAGACTTGGGGAGAACTGAGAGAATAAGGAGACTGAGAGGAGGAGAGAGAGAGGAAAAAAGAGAACGGAAGAACTAGATGGTAAGAACTGGAGAGGAATGGACTAGATGGGAAGAACTAGACTGAAGGACTAAAGGAGAGTACTAGAGGAACAAGATGGAAG